GTCCCCTGTATATATATATATGCTATATGCATATAGTAGCATACGGTACATGGTACATGGCACATGGCACCTGGCAGGCCGTTAGCCTGCCCCGGAAATTATTATAATTGCATTAGACCAAAGGCAGAAAATTGAAATTGAAATACGTTGGGCGATGTCATGGTATGGGTCTTGCGCACCCAGGATGCTGATGGATGGATGGATGGATGGATGGACTGACGGATGGAAGGCTAAATGGAAGGGTTGAAGGTTGAAAAGTGCAACTACTGAAACCAAAGTTGACGTAATGTGCCAAGGATGGGGCGCTGCCATATGGACTGACACATCAGGTTAACGTTCCTTTTTAGCAAATTAATTAAAACTTATGAAATCTCTGCTTTTTTTCTCGACTTTCTTTTGGCACTTCCTTCGCTAAATGAGATAAGACGGAAATTATCAGCAAATGGCTTATAATTGACATTTAATCGGTGTCCTCATGACTGCATTACGTATACGCCGCTTTGGCCGGGGCAACGAAAGCTTCGGCTTTAATGGAAAAAGTTCTTTTCCGTTCAAGTTCTAATCGCCTGACATTGATGAGCAAGACTTGATAGACATTTCGTGCTCGTTCGACATTCGTGTGCACTTTTTAATGGCTGTCGAAAAGGAAAATCAATACGAAAAGTTGTTGCTGATTAACACGCTAAATATACCGGCAGTAAACAAAACAAAACAAAAAGTTTGCTAAAGAACTCTGAAGTCAATATATTGATTTTTAAATTACTCTGAATATGCTTTAATAATAATATAAAAGGTAAAGTAATCAGGCAACTTTCGTTACAGTAGAAAAGAAAAAAGAAAATAAAAGTTTAAGAAAAATGTTTTCTTAATAAATAAATTCCTCAAAAATTTGATCAATAAAATTCGAATTAACTGCTAAAAATTCCAAAGGCAATTATTAAAGAACCATAAAAATACCTGACCAAAAATTCACGAATAGTAAATAACATCACGGGGCGAAATAAACATTTCTTTGAATCGAAAAATGTTATATGCTCGCCGCATGCAATGCACTGATTTGTGTTGAAAATATGCAAATATCAAAGTGACTGACTGCCAGAAAATACAATGGTAAAAACAACAAGGCCCGGAAAAGCGGAAAACGAGTAAAACCCTCGTGCGACATGTGCTCCGCCTCTTTGCTTCCCTCAAACATTTAACCTGTCAGGTTATTTAAAGTTTTCTGTGTACGCCAGCACAATTGAGTATGGTTTTTTCCACTACAATTTTATATTAGCCAGAAAAAGTTCAGCTTACAGAGGGAGTCATTTACATTTTTGATTTCACACTAACCGCCTTCGAACGAACAGTTGACCCCAAGTAATTAGAAAACTTTTCATCCAACTACAGTGCCGCCACCAATTCCATAGAGGTTGTACATCGGTTTTTAGCTATCAACAAAAAGACAAAAATAAAAAACTTCTTATTCTCTGGGCTCCCGGTCCCCCGGCGGCTTGAGTTTGCCACTGGTTTCCCCCAATTTTCGGTTCTGGCAATTGCGGAGATTGTTGCGGAGAGACAGTGGTGAAGGGTGCAAACTGCCGTCGTTAGATGCCATAAAAAGGGGTTTCCGCAGGAAAAGGAGGACGCAGTGGCCTGTGATATTCTCACTCTCCTTGCCAGACAATTGAAGATCCCAGCTTTCAATTAAATAAGCATTCTCAAAGGGTATAAAAAGCAATTTCCAATCAGAGTTATATGGAAATAAAGAAATCTGAAGGATAACAGGAAAGGAAACTAGCTTTGGTAAGCCAAAATACCCTTATAGAGTGCCATATATGGATGCCATAGGATCATGTCATTGTATCAAAAATCTATTGTAACTAAGCCAAATTTAGAAAATAATTTAAAATGGTTAGAAAGACGCTCCAGTTAATGCTGATCAAGAATATATATACCTACTTTATAGGGTCAGAAATGACTCCTTTACTGCATTACAAATTTCTGACTGAAATTAGTAAGTAACCTGCAAGGAAAATCACTTCATATAAATATCGAAAAATCCTCCCAATAAATAAAATACTTGTATTATTAAAATACACATTTTTGTTAGCTTTTTGAAAGTTCTTCCGCCCAAGTTGCTGTGATAAATATATTTCACAGAGCATTCCCCAACTACCAAGCAGCCAACACGTACAAAATATGCCCGAATAAGTATTTCGTTAGTCGGAAAGAGTGGAAACTATGTTGAGGGGGTGGCATTTTCCTGCAGCCAGAAGATAAAGGGAACAACACAAGGAGACCCACTCAGAGAATGCTGCAGATGATGATGTGGGTGGCTATAGACAGAAGGAAACAATAGTGCGGATATAACTGCGAGCGTCATTGGGAGATAAGTTGAGGGAAACTATAATGGGGCGGCGCCCAGCTGACTGCAAGAAAACGGAAAATCTGGGGGTATTGTCCTAATTCAATTCAACGAATGACTAAGAAATATGCATAAGGAGGATTCATTAAATATAATTATAATTGAAATTTAAGAAAAACTTTTTTCTGCATTCCTAAAATTTATATTTTAAACTTAAACCTCCAGGAAAAAGCAAGCCATGGTGCGAAAATGAATACTAGAGTCGGAATAACTATAAATACTATAAGGCGGCGACGCCCAGCTGACTGCAAGCAGCCGGGTAATCCGGGGAATAGTCCTAGATCGATCCGGGGAGTGACTAAGAACCACCACGGATGGCGGTAACCATATGCGAGCTGAATCGATAAGCGTGTGGCATGCAACCGACTACCGACCGACTGGCGACACTTAGCCGGCACTTGTTGTTGTTGCTTAAGGATGGGGATATGGATGAACGGGTGAACGGGTGGATTAGGGGGTGGTTGGGTTGGGTTGCCTGGGGTGGCGGGAGGTGTCGCCATAAAAGTTTGACTGCCCTGCGCTGATGTAATACCGCAAGACAATTTTGCCTCGCACGTCATATGGCCGAACAAGCAGCCAGCCAGAAACAACAACAAAAACTCCAAATAAAAGCCGGCTAAAAAGTGCTCTCAAGTTCTCCGGTGCCTCTAATTCTCCAGTTCTCTCTTTCCCTAAGAATTTCTCCCTCTCTCTCTCTCTGTTTCTCTCTCAGCTGCACATGCGCACAAGTTTGAGGAGAATGAAAGTGGTTCCCTACCATTTGTGCGCAATGTGGAAAGTGTAACTTTGTTTGAATAACAGTATTCCCTCGGAAAGGAGATCCTTATATTAGGGGACTTTAATTACGTAAATTACCCATACTTTTCAAAAGTTTCTCTTTAAGCAAGAAATTTTAGAATCCATTACATGTACCATCAGAATAGGGTCTTGAAAACTCCCTATAACTTCTAAATCCTTTTTTAGATTGTAGTATTCCCCTTCAGGACTTCCCACTGTACTCTCTGGAATGCACATTGTAGTGGTATTTTTTCTATCTTTCCAACTACACAGTCATTCGAATTGTCATGGCAAGTTGATGAATCAGCTGTTTTGCACAGCGACTGGAAGGCGACGTTGGAAGGTAGGGAGAGCGTGTTCCAGGCCGAGCCGTGGCGACATCCACTCCGCTTTCTATACTTCGGTTCTCCGTATCCGGCGGTACGAATCGGCACCCGGTCCGGGTCCGGATCCGGCTCCATGTCCGGGTCCGGGTCCGAGTCCAAGCCCGGGTGCGATGTGGCACCCCGGCCGGCCACAGCTGTGGGCCCAAACAAGCCACAAGCCATATGCTATTGATTTTCTGCGCCTCCTTTGACTTTTTGCCGTGGTTCCACGCTCCTACTTATTTTTATTTATTCTATGTATTTTTTTTTATATATATTTTTTTTGCTGCCTTTACTTACTTTAGGCTGACGCGATTGGTGTCGAGCGTAATGCAAGTTAATTTATTCGCTGCCAGCGAGTTTCTGCTATTCACTCGGTGGGACTTCATATATATTTGCTCTAGTTGGCCTGGAAGTAAGTACGGAAAATATTGCATGCCTCTGGACAAACGTTTGTGACGGCACTCCAAGGATGGCGGCAGACGTAAGGTGATATTGATCAGCGTTATGAAAGCTGGCAGCGAAACGTGGCCAAGGGGAAATCAGTTAAGTGAAAGAGTTCAAGGAATGGTAAACTGTAATCATTTTGGTCCGATGCGTCAAACTGCTGGGCTTCCATCAAAATGAAGCTATTGAAAACCTCCAGCAAATTACTAAATATAATAAATATAAATGTCACCTTAATAATTAAACTTTTAATTATGAAGCCCAAGCGACAATCATTCGGGGAATTACTCGGATCATTTTTCAGGCTTAATTTCTACCATGCTCCCCTGAGTCCGATTTAACCCTCGAATTTAATACCGCAAATGGAATGTTAAAAATATTCCCCCAATATCAAAAATTCACCCTAATCCCACAATTCTTTCGAGCGAGTCATAACTCAGGCAAGTCACCCCATTTTCGACTCACTGCAGCCCCCTTTCACTTGTCGCCTGCAAGTATGCAATAAAAATCTATTATGTGTCCTCGCACACACTCGCACACTCACCAGAACACAGACACGCTGATTCAGACACAACTGTCGCATATAAATCAAACGATTTGGACGCTATAAACGAAAGGCCCGTCGTCTGCAAACTGGGCTAAGAGGCTAACAGAGCAAAATTCCCGGAAAACAGCATGCAACTTACGTACTTGAGACATCCGGGACATACAAATAAAAGGATCTTTTTTTAAAAAAAACAGAATTCTATTGAAATCGGTTGGATTTTTAAAACTCCCTTAATGGCTGACTAAAAGTGTGGCTCAAAAGTAAAATTTGTAATTTAAATTGTAGAAATATAACAAAACCTATAAGTTTTTTTCTATTCTTCAAACTGAAATGGTTTTATTTGTTCCTTTAATTAAATACTTTTTAATCTTATTCACATTAAAGTGCCTGCCGGCTTTTTACTTTAATTTAAAACTACAAATAAGTGTTACAATAAGAATTACTAATCGTTACTCACCTTGTCTACCGGCATTGATGGGCACGCTCTGCACAGATTCCAGAATGAGCCAATCATAGGGAAATGCTTTTGCTGTTTGCCGAACCAAGTGCCAGAAATACAAATTAAACACGCGCACGTTTGGGGGTTTATTCAGTGCTCGATATTCGGCGGTAAGCGTTGCTTAATCGTAGCAACTTATTTTAACATGGGGACACAGAAACACACGCGTTTTGCTCTTAAACTTTAATATTTTCCACCTCTCGCTCCCTCACTCGCTCGCTCTCGCTCACTCTCTATACGCACACGCACCTGGATAATGCGTAGCGAAGAAAGTGCGTTTGTATTGTCATAGGCCAAATTGGATTAGACTTCCGCTGAGGGGGAGAAATTGAGGCGTGAGAAAAAGTATTGCATACCAGCGGGCGTTTTGCTTCAGCGATGATCTCATACACACACACACACGCACGCACGCCAGCACACAGACGAATCCTTTACGACCCTCTGAATGTCAGCGTAATTAGCCAATATAGCGCTCCTACCAAATCGGAGCAAACAATTTTATTGGACATTAAAAAACAGAAACATTGTGCGCGAGCCGCATTCAGATTCTTATTTTTATGCCCTGGCAAATCGATATCTATTTTTTCCGCACAGCCCCGTGGTATGCAATACTTTTTAGCCGCCTCTGCTTGGCTAAAATGTGCAACTTTTCGCTGATTTTCGCATTTGTTTTGTGGTCGGTGGTCACTGGAGCGAATCTTTGTTAAGGTAAAAAATGCAAGAAACTTCAGGTGCACAGAGAAACACACTTTTCAGATGGAACCGATTTTGCTCTCTGTCCCGCTGCTCCTCTGCCGCTGCTGCTGCTTCTGCTTATTTGTGGGATTGGTGTATATCTGGTGTGGGCCCTTGCGCCAGCTTTTCCGGTTTCAACTTGACGACGTTTCGAACACGACTGAGCTTGCAGTGCGAGTTCTCAGGAAAGAAAACCACCGAGCGAATCCACAGCGGCGGCGTTGGAGTTGACGCAGGGCCTGGAAGTTTTTGGGGAGAGCTCTGGCTCTTTGGAAGGCCGAAAGAAAGCCCCATCGAACATATGTTTGCAGGGGCGTCGGTGGGGAAAACTTCATTACTTATTGACTATTAAAAACAATAAAATATTCAAGAATCAGTGGCTTGTTACTATTACAATTTACTGCAATTTTAATGCTTTAAATATAAGATTTATAAAGTTGCAGTCATGCGCACTGTGGGCCAACAAGCTTGGCTGATGTCACAAGAGACCGAAACAGCTGTGGTGTTGAAAAACCTGTATTTCATAAAACCGTTATTTATTTCTGACTAAATCATTTAATTTTTGTAAATATTTTAAAAATAATACATTTTGGAGGTTATTATAATTATAAGAATTATTAAATTAAATTAACTTTTTAGTTAGACTAAAATTAAAAAGAAAATAAATTAATTACTTATTAAAAAGTATTAATTTTTGTTAGAGATGAGGAAATATTTTGTGTTGAAGACGTTAATTATCGGATATCGATTTTTTTCGGACCGGTATCCCAAACTAATCGACAGTTGGTCACACGAATATACCGAAAAATACTTTGTTACGAAGAAGGGTGTAATGGGAAAACAACAAATATTATCGATAAGAATGGAAAATCAGGAGCATCCGAGATGATTCGTTTACGGCGCGCGATTTGTGAACAGGTGAAAAGCTAATCAAGATATGTGACTATTGCGACTTACCTGTTCTTCCACTTTGCAGCTGCCACAGCTGAAGGAGGCGTGCCATGCGCTAGAGGTGCCGGCCAAGAAGCACCAACTCCAAAACGCCCGGCGACCTACTCTGGAATGGGTTCTCCCATCTGCGGTTGCGCAACAGGAGCGGGAGTTGCTGAAAGCCGTGCAGGACCACACATTTGATGGCGCCTACGTAGAAAGAGTCAATGTGGTATCCAGCTCCGGACGAAGTGCAGCCAAAGTGGAATTCCAGCTGCAACCACAGGCCTTTGTGGAACAACTGCTCCTGGCAAAACAGAATCCAACAGACATTTCCACTTCACCCACGGAGCACATTGTGGTGGAGTTCAGTTCACCAAACATTGCCAAACCGTTCCATGTAGGCCACCTGCGTTCCACCATCATTGGCAATGTCCTTGCGAATCTCCACCAGTACTTGGGCTATCGCACCACGCGCTTGAATTACCTAGGAGATTGGGGCACACAGTTCGGCCTGCTAGCCTTGGGCGTCCAGCTAAACAATGTAACCGATCAGCAGATGCAGGAATCCCCCATAGAAACGCTCTATGCCTCCTATGTGGCCGCCAACAAAGCGGCAGAGGAGAGTCCGGAAATCGCCCAACGAGCTCGGGAACTCTTTGCGTCTCTGGAGGCGGGAACAGATGCGAACATGGCCGAACAGTGGCAAAAGTACAGGAAATACACTATTGAAGATCTGGCCAAAGTTTACCAGCGATTAGGCGTGCAGTTCGACAGCTACGAGTGGGAGTCCCAGTACTCCCAAAAAGAAATCCAGCAGGTTCTGGACAGGCTGCGAAAAGCAGGTCTTCTGCTACGAGAGCAGGATGGCCGCGAGGTGGTCGAAGTGGATGGCAGACGCATCCCAGTGATCAAGAGCGATGGTTCCACTCTGTATCTAGCCAGAGATATTGCTGCTCTCCTAGAGAGGCTCTCTAGACTACAGTTCACCCGTCATCTTTATGTGGTGGACAATGGCCAAGCGGATCACTTTAATGCGCTTTTTAAAACTGCATCGGCTTTGGACGAACGACTGAATCTTGGGCAGCTTCAGCATGTGAAATTCGGACGCATACATGGGATGAGCACCAGGCAAGGCAAGGCCATCTTCCTGAAGGATGTGCTAGATGAAGCGCGCAATATAATGCGGGAGAAGCGAAACCTTAGTGCAAGTAGGTCGTAACATCAGTATAAAGTAAAGAATCCTTTTTAAACTATATTTTCCAGCCACCAGAGAAAACCAGTCCCTTGACGATGAGCTTGTGTGTGATATCCTGGGCGTTTCGGCTGTTCTGGTAAATGTCTTGAAGCAGCGCCGGCAGAGGGATCACGAATTCAGTTGGCAACAGGCTCTTCAGGTAAACGGAGATACGGGAATCAAGCTCCAATACACACACTGCCGCCTGCACAGTTTGTTGGATAACTTCAAGGAGGTACAACTGGAGGACATCAAGCCCGACTGGCAGCATTTTGCTGAAGAGCCAACGGATGCCTTGGATCTGCTGTACGAACTGGCACGCGTGGATCAGAGCCTGTGGCAGTCAAAGCAGCAACTCGAAGCTTGTATACTGGTCAACTATTTGTTTGGATTGTGGTGGGTAGAAAATGATTACACAATTAATAAATTATTTATAGAACAGAAACTAATTGAACCTTGCAGCAACGCTACTAGCAAAGCGCTAAAACGATTACCTGTGAAACTGGAGAGCTGCCGGCACAAGCGTTCCCAGCGCCTGCTGCTCTTTCACGCCGCCAAACGGACGCTGCAGCAGGGTATGCAGCTCCTAGGACTCCGACCACTCGACCAGATGTAACCAAAGATGCCTCCACACAAAACCGTTAACATATTTGATATTTATTAAAACATTTGAAACTAAAATGCCACCAGAGTCAGGGGGATTCACGTGCCCGTCTAGCGCTTCTTCCACGTGTACTTGCGGCGTGCCCCTTCCTGTCCAAACTTCTTACGCTCGCGGCGGCGATAGTCACGTGTCAGCAGGCCGGCTACAACATAAATTGCAATTAGCGGCAATCGGCCAAAGGAGGAAGAGGGAGAGCTCTCCGCATGCACTTACCCAGACGCATAGACTCAATCATCTCTTGATCGACAAAGCTGCGCAAACTCATCGCAATGCCCCAGCGGATGGCTCCGGCCTGACCGGAAGGTCCGCCGCCCTCCACATTGGCCTCCACATCGACTTTGCCCAGCAGCTCGCTAAATTGCAGCGGGAAGAGCAACTGGAAAAATCGAGATAACAAATGAGAATTAGAATGAGATAATGCTGATGCTGTGGCCACCGTTAGATGTCAAGTTCGAGCGCCCGAGGCAGCAGCCATTGTACGGCTCACTCTCTGTGTATTAACGAAATGAGGTTGCGATAGCGCTTCCTGTACGGCAACAACAATGCGACTAGATAATAGCGAAATCGTTAGCCAAATTAAATGTCTGTGGGCCGCTGCAACAAATTGTTGCATGTCCGCCGGGCAATTAGCAAACACACGTCGTCAATCGAGTGGGTGGGAAAGGTTAGTTCTAGGTGTGATGCAAATTATAAGCGCATTATAGTATTGCATCAAGTCGGTGTAATTGCAGAGCCGCGGGCTATGATCAGCACGCGCTGTACCGTTAATAGGTTCTTTTCAATTTACACAACAATTAAAGATATTGAGTATTTTGGTTTATAAAAATAAAATATGATATTATAGTAAACTAATGCTCTTTGCAAACATAAGAATGGCGGTTCAAGACCTTGATTCAGTTAAAAATATATTGTATACAGTTTTAAAAGTTATATAAAAACAATAATAAGCCATTTCCCCTTTATATCCCACTGCTAATTCCAAAAAATCCGGATATTAATTAATCAAATATCAAATAATATTTACATATTAAGTACCTCAACTCTGACGGCAGTCACAAAGTTCACAGATTCCAAAGATCAAAACAAATCGTAACTCAATTTTAGCGATTTAATTTTTTTGTTGCTATTTTTTGTACCATTTTTATACCCTTTTTAAGGTATTATAATTTCAGGCAGAAGCTTGTAACGCTGTGAAATAGCAATTTCCGACCCTATTCATTATATATATTCTTGATCAGCATTAACAGGCGCATCTTTCTAGCCATCTTAAACCCAAAAACAAAATTTTCAATTTTTATTCAAAATTTGATTAGGGGTAACATCATTAAAATTGTGCAAAATTGCCCAAAATTTCGATTTCTTAAAATTTTAAACTCAGTATGCAGATTTGTTAAACTAGAAAAAACAAGCATAGAAAAGCTTTCCGAACTGAAATTAGTGCAATTTTGGCTTACTTATAAACAATTTGAAGAGCAGGCCCTAATCCTATTGGAACCTGCCAGGGTATCCAAACTTCGGCTTGCTGAACTTAGCTTCCTTTCTTACTTTATTTTTTTTATTCGACTGCGTGGGAAACAAAGTCAAGAGGCTTGACAAACGGAACGCCTAACAATGGTCGGGGGCAGCACACACTGAGACAGTAAACGTTATGATTAAAAAACAATAAACAATAAAACTACAACAATCGAACGGGGAAGAGCAATTTTTGAACATTTTGTTCTCTTCTCTCCTTCTCGTTTTTTTTTTTTTTTTTGCAAACCACATCGACAACGGCCATCAATCAGCGAAAAGATTTTGAGAGGAGCAACAAAGCGACAGAGAGATTTGATTTGTTTAAACAAATTGCTAGATGACTTCACGCTACAGTAACAACCATAATAAACATAATAAAAGGCTTATACACACAATACGAACAAGATTTTTGAATTAATGTAGGTACATACATACAATTAATGCGAAAGCCGAACGCCACAAAATGCTTAATTGACGTTGATAAAAATAGCAACAAGTTTGCAGATCTGGTGACGAGGCAAATCCAAAAACTGGTTCCCTCAACTTCAGGGTTCCCCGAAATCTCAGTTAGGGAAAAAAAAACAAAACAAGAAAAAAGCCTCTCGGTCTCAACCGTGGTGGGGGTGGTGTGGGACAGCCTACCGGCATATAGCGTAGTATCGTGCACTTAAACTCGGCGCTTCAAGAAAATTCGCGGCAACATTTTATTATGATTTAAATGAATTTTATAGTTTGACACATGAGAGAAGACGGACACGACAAAAGCCCCGAAGAAGAACATCTCGTTCGTGTAACGGTGTCGGGTACTAGGGATATATAGTATATATACTAAGTGTCATCTACTTCATTGGCGTTCGCTTTGGAGACACATCATATCGTGTACGATATCATTTCGGCGCAGTTCTTCTTTATCAGTCGATCCAACGTCGTTGAGCGCGCGCCTCAAGTGTCGCAAAATTTTTACATATCGTCCGAGAAATTATTTGAACCATCCTACTTCTGTAAAAGAAAAGCCAACATAGGTTTCCTTCTTGGACTAAAAAAATGTGGCGAATATTGATTAAACCCTGGCTCTGGGCCTTTCATTAGCAGAAGGCGAATCAATGTAAAGTGGATTTCCTTAAAACTATAATTTAAAAGAATAATTACAGACTATTTTAATTGATTCAACTAAATTTGACTCCTAAATTGGTAAAATTTATTGAATAAAATTGCTAGGAAATGTTTACAAAGTCTGTAGCTTAACATTTCCATTTGCTGCACCAGTAAGACATTTCTTTAGCATTTAAAATTCGAGTTATTTTCCTTTTGCCGATATTGTAATAAATGGTTTTCTTATCTTAAATTTATAGAAGGTTTTCTTATCCAGAATATTTTTAACATCTACCGTACCCTCACAGGGTAAAGCTAAATCTTAAAAAAAATTACTGTTATAATTAAGTAAAAGCCAAAGGAATTTTAAACATCATTAAGATATTTAGTAGGAACAAGAAAGACTTTTTGAAACAGCTTAAATATTCAATCTTACTAAAACACCACTAATAATTGTTAATAGTTCTTGAAAAAATAGAAATTCCTTCCATAATTATCTTACTAAGAAACGTATCAAAAAACGCAACAAATTTTCATTAGAAATCCCCACAAAATAAACCATCTCCATAACCGAGAGCTTAGCTCATGAATAGCAATTGAGATTTGTTTACACTCAGTGCTCGGCTTTTGTCGACTTCCATTATCCTTTAATTCGTGAACTATTCACGCTGGAATTCAATTGCAACTGCATAGGCCCACAAGTGTACATATATAAGAATCGGATCTAGTGACTGTACGACGTAATGTGGGCAATGGGCAATGGGCAATGGGGCATGCGCTTCAGGTTCAAGGGCACTGTGAACGCAAAAATAAACCTAACTCAGCCCAATGCGTTTGCTCACATAATAAAAACCCCTTAAAGCCCCCTAAAGCCATCCACAAAAGCGCGAGTAAAGCGAAGAAAAATTTTCAAATTGATTTCAATTATAATTGAATCAACGCGCGGCGACAAGGAATACCCGAGAAAGTAAACGAACGGCGGACAAACGAACGATCGCGACGAACGTTCGGGAATCGCCATTTCCACCTCTCGCGATGGCGATGGCGCAGTTTTCCAAAATGGCCGACGCCGCGGCGGTGGGTACGAACGGGTGAATGGCAAGTGGCGCTTCCGGGCACCGGAATCAACAAAAGCATGCCGCCCGTCATCGACGCCTTTCCCCGAACGCTCTATTTAAAGCGAGAAATTCTCTTTTTTTTTGCAAAGTATATATTAAAAACATATTAATTGACAAGGCGATTTCCAGCAATTCACACAATTCTGTAATCACACGGGGGCGTTTTTGAATAAATATTTGCTCGGTGTGTTAGCGACTTTTGGACCTCGCAGACTCCAGACAGCAGCAGAGTAGCTATCGACGAGAGCCCAGCATCGGATCCAAAACTGGTTTCTCAACTACGCACAGAATTTGATTAATTTGCTCGCATAATTTAGCCCGACGACGATGCTTGTTTATCGCCAGCAGCAGCGAATTTGTTGTATTTTGTTTTTGGCCCAATCAAAGAAAGTTTCTCATGCGTTGTCGCCGGGCAAACAAAAATACCTTCATCTTATTCATTCGTGTGCTTTGCTTTTGTTTATATTTTGCAAACACGTTTGCAAGATTCCCAGAATCTCGTTGGAGAATTGTTTACGGTAATGCGATGCCGAAAGTAAATGCAGCAATTGGAACCTGAACAAGCTTAACGCCTCACTAGCTAATTGAATCTAAGGCAAAAGCGTGATTATATAGTCTGGAGTCGAGCTAATTACATAAGCTGGAAAGGCTGAAAAAACCCGATAAAAAGTTTCCTTAACTTAAAAAAACAGATGTCTATGCTAAAATTAAGGCAAAACAATAAATAGGTAAACAAAAGCTGAAGATTAAGGGGTAATGTCTAACAGAACAATACAAGCAAATAAATTAGAGAAAAGAGAAGGGTTAATTAGCAAAACTTCCCTCAATTTAATAAGATAATTTATGCAATATATTTAAATATATAAAATATCAAATCATGCTCATAGATTAACTTTTGATTTAGTAAACACTACCGAAAGATGGAACCGGTCCTGAACCTCTAGGAATTTTGCTTGCACCCTGAATGAATGAGTATGTCTGTCCACCTCTGACGTTGACATGAATTGTAAATAATACGAGCAAACAAAATCAAGCAAAAAGTAGGCAAACAAAGGCATGGGTGTGGTTAAAAGGGGAGGTTTATTAATATACTATTTACTTGCCACGGAAATATTGCCAAAAAACTAGCAAAGTTTCATTTTTATACCCTTGCAGGGTATTATAATTTCAGTCAGAAGTTTGCAACGCAGTGAAGGAGACGTTTCCGACCCTATAAAGTATATATATTCTTGATCAGCATCAACAGCCGAGTCGATCTAGCCATGTCCGTCTGTCCGTCCGTCTGTCCGTCTGTCCGTCCGTCTGTCCGTCTGTCCGTTTCTACGCAAACTAGTCCCTCAGTTTTAAAGCTATCTGAATGAAACTTTGCATATAGTCTTCTATATACTCTCACTGCTATATATGTCGGAACGGGCCGGATCGGACGACTTTATCATATAGCTGCCATACAAAAGTTCGATACATTTTTAGAAAAAAAATTATAACTTTGTTGTTTTTCAATATTTTTACACCATTTTTTAGATATGGCCATTCTATATTATTTTAGATTTTCAATAAAAATTTCATAAAAATCGGACGACTATATCTTATAGCTGCTATAGGAACGATCGGGAAATTAATAGAAAAAATTAAAACTTCGTTGTTTTTCAACGTTTTTTCATCTACACAGAGATATAAGCTTTTTTTATTATTCTAGAATTTTGGTAGAAATTTCATAAAAATCGGGCAACTATATCATATAGCTGCCATATAAACCGATCGGTAGATGTAGAGAAAATGTAAAGCTGGGAATGCGAAACTGTAACTGTCAAACTGTAAACATAATAATATAGGTAAAATGTAATGAAATAATATCTGCAAGGGTATACAAACTTCGGCGTGCCGAAGTTAGCTTCCTTTCTTGTTAAAATCTAATTTATAATTATTAACTAAAGATAAGGAAGAAAAAAGAGCAAAAAAGGGATATAACTAAGAGCGACAAGCTACTGATCCAGACCTATGATCATCCATCCAGTAATCATATATGTTATAGCTTATTTTCCTTAAATAATTCCCATTACCTTCGCTCAAATTTTAGCCAAACTTCTGCCCTTTCTTAACGCCATAAACCCCCTTAAAGGCGCAGCCGTAACCAGTAGCACTTTAAGATAAATCCCCAGATAGTCTGGCGATAATGGCCACGATAGTGATGATGGGCTTATCGCTGCGTCAAATGAAAGCCGCTTAGATAACTGCGGCCACGAGTGTCGCATCCAACGCACGCAGAGGCTTCTTGGCCGGAGTCCATACATCCGGGCGGGTAGGGAAAGCCAGTCAGTTGGTGGACTTAGACGGAGGAAAAGTGACGCTAAAATTAATATTTGTGCAGATATATTGTGGGCAGTGGACTCAGTTGGGATTGTTCGCTCAGCGGGATTGTTTAGAAAGAGAGATCCCTCTCGAAAATCTTCGACCACAAAACCATCTACATAACAATCTTTGCAGCAGGCCATCGAAAATGTCAACGGGCCGCTGAAATTGGCCTATAAATTTTGGCGCTGATATTGGAAAGTTACTTTTTTTTCTCTGCATATTTTATAGTCGACCGTCGCCCGTTGCAATTGCTTTGAGTTTTTTGCGCATATTTGCGCGTTTTAATTGCAACGACCACGAAAGCAGCAGCAGCAGCAGCAGCAGCAGCATTGACATCGACGGCGGCGATATCAGCAGCACCTTTTGGCCGTCACCATGGAGAATCTTGGCTACAAGGAGGGCAGCACCAAGCCCCGTCGCATGACACGTTCGATCAGCGTCGTTACCAAGACCGAAGTGGAACAGCCGCTCACGGAGAATAATGCAAATAACCGGTAAGTGCCAGTTGGAGTTGCCAGTTTTCTGTTTTCGGCTTTCGGCCACAGCAGTTGCAGTTTGCAAAAAAAAAAAAACAAAGATTGTAAAAATCTGGCTAAAATAAAATGTATACAAAATATACGCATACTTATATAGGTGTGATTACCCAGCCCAAAAGTTTTCATGAGTTGGCTGCAAAGACGCGGAAGCATTCCGTGATTAATGAATAATGTGACAACTGCATTGGCAATTGAAGTTTAGCAAACATATTTTGCACAAGAAAACTGTGGGGATTCATATTTATATAATGTGTATGCAAAGATGAGTAAACAACTGTTTTTTCGGCGAGGAGAAGTCGGTTTACTTCCACCAAACCCCGTCTGGTAATTGTTTTACAGAATTCAGCTGTAGATTTATTTAATTATTTCACATGTTTCAACACACAAAAAAGAGCAAACGAGGAAGTAGACCCTCAATATAAAATGTAGGCAAGCAAATTAAATAGATTTAGTCATGGCAGCAGATTGTAAGGAAGGTGTTACTTTAGAATAAGAATTTAGAATTTAGAAATAAAGAACAAATTTTAATAATTAGAAAGAATTAAAAGAAATGCTTAAGATATAAAATGCCTAAGTTCTCTGGTTGAAAATTACAATGCCAAGAAGTTTAATGAAGGAAAAAATGAATACTTAAGACCTTTGTTGTTATTTGTCTGTGAAATACAAATATTTAAAGGTACCTTGAAAATATATTCATAGTAAATGAATAGGAATTTAGCGTATTTTTAGTTACATAAAATTTCAAGATCGCCATAATCAATAACCCTTGTTAAGGGCCTATTTAAATTTATCCATTGTAATTATTATTTGTATTCTTATTATTTATTATGTATCAACTCTTGAGCAATGATGTGTCAAAGATTTTCACTCCCACTCGCACTGAATCCACAGACTTTTTGGCAATCGATCAAGCTCTCCGGAGCCACCGTCTCTCCCTATAAAAGTATCTCCCCCTAGCAGGTCGCTCACTCTCTAGTTTACCTCTCTTTTCGGATCTCGATCTCGACTCGACGGCTTAACCAACAACGGCTTACGGTTTTCCATTCGGGCTCAGTCGGTTTTGGAACAACAATGCAGGCGGACGCGTTTGTAGCTGGCTAAAACACTAAACTAACGGCCGCTAACTAAGGCTAGAACGCGTTCGTAGTGATCGTAGTCGCTCGAAATAACAACAACAACAAGAACAACGAATATCATAACAATATCAGCTGAAACAACGTCCGAAAAATCGACAGCAACAACAAAACGGAAGTGAAAAATTCGCGTTTTTTCACACAACATTTTTACATTTTCCGCCCGTTAGACACAATTGTCTAAGCCCCCACAAAAGGCCCCTATTGTGAGGCACTTGTCCCGTTCTATTCGAATCCGATCCGCTCCGCTCCGATCCGAACCCATTCCCGTCCCGCCGGACCGATCCTCAGTCCGTATTTTGTGGATCGGTCAAACAGTCGACGGTCGACGGGCTCTCCCATGTATTTCGGAAATGAAATTAGAAATTGAAAACAGCTCATTGGCGAATTGGCATCATCCGTGGATATGGCTGCAAACGGTGTACGTATTCAGTCCAAGTCGGATCCGCGGATCCCCGGATTCCCAGCTTTTAAGTGCCCAACAAAAGGCCATAGTGTAGTTAGTCGTAGTCGAACTGTAGCTCTGGTTATACAACAAGTGCAGCCTCTTCTGGCCATGGACAAGGTTTAGATTTATGCAGCCGAGCCACTATGCTGAGCACATCTCAAATAAGACAAACCCAACCGGCGCAGTCGGCAAATCCATCAACGTACGGCAACTAGTGAATAGTGAACAGTAGGAAAAAGCTAAACATTAAAACAAAAACTAAAACTAAAATCGCTTTAAACAATCCGCCAACTTTGCATAACTCTCAACGCAAAAAAAATAACACACACAATAATTATTTAAAATTATGCATGCTCGAAAAGTCAACAGATCTCGAACTCTGCTGTTCAGTGCCATTTAAGCAATGGAAAATATATGTTTACAAATCCGTAAAAACGTTTTAATGTGCGACAAGGGTGTGGGGACAAAGAGAAGTGCGAATCTCTCTCCAATGGCTTTGTCTAAGGTTTAAGCCAAGTGATTTAGGCCAATTTGGTAGAGGCCTTATAATGCCCAGAACCCTTTTAATCATCAAAAGTTCTTACTGAACGCTAAACAACTTCAAAGTTAGAAAAACAAAGCTATTTAATTTGGTTATTTTCAGCGAATGCGGTCATTAAAACCGCAATGTTTTCAATCTAATTACTATAAAATTAAAATAAAAACTCATTGATTGAATGATGTGTGCAAACTAAGGAAACTTTCCCAGCCATAAAAATGTTTGCTAATCCCAGACTAAATTTATTGATTGTTTAAATCTGAAATCCGACGATAGCTCTTAGTTCGCATTGATCCTAAAGCTATAAAAACCAGTTTTAAATTAAAAGAAAGAGCAGTAAAAAATGTACATCTTTTTCAGTTAATAACATATCTATAAGGGAATTAACTGAAAGAATAACCATTAACTTGAAAATAAAAATAAAGTTATAAAAAAAATTTAAACACTTATTTACTCTTTGAAATATTTCATTTTAGTACTATTTATTTTTGAAGTATTTCGTTTGCTAAAACGTAAGAAACATATATTACTCAAGTCAGTAAATAAATTTCTAATCAACTTTGTAAGGTGTTAATGTATCTTACTAGTAAATTCGTTTCATAAGAAATGATTGTAAAAAAGATATATCGTCTTAAAGGCATAGATCATTTTTTACAATCATTTGTTTTTGTTTGATGAGAATTTGATGAGAATCTGTGACTGTGTTAGAAGCTATAAGACAGAATTTAAATCGCAATACAAACTTTAACCAGTTCAAAGCTACATATTTTTCAAAGGAATCGAATGAATATTTACATATAGTTTATAATAATAAAATTAAGCCACTTTATCCCACCCTCTTCAAGTTCAAAAGCTATCCCAAACTCCCACTAACTATATTCCCTTCTCCTTGGACAGTTTCAAATCGATTCCACCCAACCTGATGGTGCGATGGCGGAACAACACTGACGCCATGATCGAAGCCCAGTACCCGACCGCTGGAGAATTCGAATACATGGAGTGTGGACCATCACCGCCGGCGGAGAGTGCGCCGAGCATGTACGACAGCTTCGAGGAGCCAACCAGCGAGCTGAGTGTCCAAATATGCAACGACACGCTCCGGATCAGTCTTATCGATCAGATGAAGAGTGCCGCCGGCCGTGTGCGCCTCTTCGAGGATATCGAGCAGGGCAACGTGGTAGCCGAGAGCATCCGGACACACTTCGAGTCCGCCTCGAAGCTGGAGAAGAATCTCAGCTACCTGTGGGCCGCTTACCTCAAGCGCTGGGATCTGATCGAAAGTCTGCTGGAGGCCGGAGCCGAGCTCCACTTTTGCGATCAGAATGGCATATCCGCCCTGCATCTGGGCGCCTTCAGTGGCTGCCTGGCCACGCTGGGCCTCCTGGTGGCCAAGGGCCTGAATGTCAATTTGCAGTCCAAGTGCTACACGCCCTTGCATTGCGCCGCCTTCGGAAATGCGGCTGAGGCGGCCAAGTTCCTGATCAACAATGGAGCCGATATAGCCAAGGACACTAATAAACCAAATTGCGAGGAGAGCCTCTTGCACTGCGCGGTGAGATCCAATGCCCTGGAGTGTTTGCAGATCTTCATTGGCGAGGGCGCCGACGTGAACTCGCTCAAGCCGAATGGCACCAATGCCATTCACCTGGCCGCCGATCTGGGCAACCTCCAGTGCCTGGAAGCTCTGCTGAATGCCCCCAATGCGGATGCCAATGTGCGAATCTGCATTCGCGAGAAGGAGTCCACAGCCTTGCATCTGGCAGCAGATGAGGGCAATGTGGAGTGCGTGGACCTGCTGCTGGCAAAGGGTGCCGATGCCAAGCTAAAGAACCACCGAGGTTTCACGCCCCTCCACCTGGCGGCCAGAACCTCCAGCTTGGAGTGCGTCGAGTCTCTGCTGAGGAACGGCAATGCCGATGCCAATGCCGAGGACTTTGATCATCGCACTCCCCTCCATGCGGCAGTTGGAAAGTCGGAGAATGCCTACGACATTATGGAGACCCTTATCCAGTGGGGAGCGAATGTCAACCACAAGGACATCTATGGGTTTACAGCTCTCCACTTGGCTGCATTGGACGGTTTGGTGCAGTGCGTGGAGATGCTGATATTCCACGGGGCGGATGTAACCACCAAGAGCAAGAAGGGAACCTCTGCGCTGAACGTGATCACTCGGAAGACGCCAGCTTCGGTGGCCATGATCCGGCAGAAGCTGGACGCGGCCATCACGCTGCACCACTCGCAGGTGAGTTGAAGATAAATTCTGTGTGGGTAAGCTCTGTTAAGAACACTCTTCTGGTTGTAGGATCCTGTGAATCGTGAGGTGGAGCTGGAGCTAGACTTCCGTCAGCTGTTGCAGCACTGTCATCCGCGCGAGATCAGCTACCTGAACACCTTTGTCGACGAGGGCCAGAAGGAGATCCTGGAGCACCCGCTCTGCTCCTCGTTCCTGTACATCAAGTGGGGCAAGATCCGCAAGTACTACATCGGCAGGCTGATCTTCTGCTTCAGCTTTGTGCTCTTCCTTACACTCTACGTGCTGACAGCTCTGGCCCACAATTGCTACAATGGCAGCAAGGACGACAACACGACTATCCAGGCGCAGGAGCTGTGCCAGAAGCAGTCCATCCTGGGAGATATGCTGAGGAACAATCCATTTGTGATGGAGATGCAGTGGTGGGTGCTGGTTGCCATCACCATAGTCGAGATATTTCGGAAACTTTACGGGATAACGGGCTACTCCTCGTTTCGACACTACGTGACGCAGGTGGAGAACATCATGGAGTGGTTTGTGATCACCAGCGTCTTTGTTATATCCTATATCTACACCAAGCAGACGTACACGTTCCAAAATCACATAGGCGCCTTTGCGGTGCTCCTGGGCTGGACGAACCTGATGCTTATGATTGGACAGCTTCCGGTTTTCGATGTCTACGTGGCCATGTATACGAGGGTCCAGGGAGAATTCGCGAAGCTATTCATGGCCTACTCTTGCATGCTTATCGGGTTCACCATCAGTTTTTGTGTGATCTTCCCTTCGTCGTCGTCGTTTGCCAATCCATTTATGGGATTCATTACGGTGCTCGTGATGATGATCGGTGAACAGGACTTGTCGCTATTGATTAACGATCCCGATGGCAAAGATCCACCATTTCTCCTGGAGGTTAGTGCACAGATCACCTTCGTGCTGTTCCTACTCTTTGTGACCATCATCCTGATGAACCTGCTGGTGGGCATAGCAGTGCACGATATCCAGGGATTAAAGAAGACGGCGGGATTATCGAAGCTAGTGCGTCAGACCAAGCTGATAAGCTACATAGAATCGGCATTATTTAATGGCTATCTGCCCACATGGCTGCGCAATTTGCTCCACTACACAGCGCTGGTTTCACCCCAGGCATACCGAGTGGTTTTATGTGTCAAGCCGCTAAATCCCAGCGAGAAGCGATTGCCCAGAGACATCCTAATGAAGGCGTACGAAGTGGGCAAGATGCGGAAACACTTTGGGCACACAGTGTCCTCTAAGAATCCCGCGGAGAACTATCTGTCGTACAAGAACAAGTACAACAATAACAATGGCTGCGCCACTACGGGCTACGTTCTGCCCGATGCTGACCCAGACGCCGGCCAGTTCACAACGCTGACGACCAAAATCGACGACAATGCGGACCGGATCGAGTTCCTCACCCAGGAGATCCAGGAGCTGAAGCAGGCGCTCATTTCGCAGCAGCAGCAGGCCAGCAAAGTGATCGATAAGCTGCTGATTGTTATATCCAATCAGCAAAAGCAGAATCTGCGCAAGTAGCAGTAGCATTTAGTGCACACTCCGTATTGGAATATTTATAAACCAGAGTTAGCTCTTTCCTAGACGTAAGGCGACGACGGGTGGGTAAGACCCCGTAAAAACCAGAACACTGTTGATATTATACCGTAGCAGCGAGTTGTAGTTAAAGAAATTTTGATATCGATGCGCCTGGCGCCCTATACATACGCTATATAGCCATATACAACACCATACTATTATCCGTAAATATATTACTATAACTAGTGATTAGTTAAATTAGTGGCGAGCAGTTGGCAGGATTGATTTGTGGCTGGTTTCAGGCTGTGTTGTTTTGGCGTTGTCGTCAGAGAATCGTGTACATCATACATAATAATTTAATGCAAATTTATATTCTTAATAAAGTATATGCTATATCTATTGTTATGAATTTCTTTGAAGTTTTCGTTTCGTAAAGCTCAAGAAGGTTTAAAAGAGAAGAGAAATGGATGGTACAAGACTTTTGTACATTCCTAGCCAGAACGAAAAACAAACTCTTAGCGGATGAGAAAACTCGCGAGACAACTCAACGGACTAAAAACACTATAGCATTCATGAAACTCACCTGTTCCCTGCAGTTTTCATCCTCAAAGTAGGAAATATTCTTGCCATTAATGCTGATCTTCCCCGTACCCGGCAGTCGGACAGTAACATCAGCTCTCGCTGTCTTCCGCAGGCACTCGTAGGTGGTGATGTACTGGCGTCCCTCACCATCGATCTTTGGCTTGGGCACCTCCAATTGATTGGACTGATCCATCAGTGGCTTCAGAAAGCGTTCGATAAAGGTCTTGCTTTTGTATGCGTAGGGGGAGGCGATTAAGCGATCCATGGAGTTGCAAAAATTGGAGTACTCAATATCCGCAATACTCTCCACCAGCAGGAGTTCCAGCTGATCTTTTGGTAGCAGATGGAAGCCATCGATTTCTCTGGAATAAAAAAGAACTAAAAATCGTATTTAAAACAAAGATAGACACGACTTACAGCTTCTGGTTCTCATCAGGTTTGTTGCCACGGCGTAGCATGCGCTCCTCCAAATCTGCCAACTTGTTGGTTTCCTCCACGATATCCTGGAAGATGAAAAAGACATAGAAATATTCATACTTATAAATTCATTTAATTCCAACTCACATGCAGAAGCTGGAAAAAGTTGGGCTTGCCAGTGTAGAACAAGCTGTGGAATGGCCTGCCCGTCTCGTCAAACTCTGCGGCCTTGCGTGCTGGGAATACCACGTCTGGCGATTTCATGGCAGGCCGGGCCTTTGGATCGTACAAGCCCGAAGGAAATAGATAGGATATCGCTTCCTGCAGATAGTAAATAGGTTATATTTAGTCTAATTTAGGTTTCTTTGCTGGCTTTGTTCTTTACATCAACATCCTCCTGCGTAAATGTCTCCGCATCGGCGCCCATCATGTTGGCCAGGTGCCGCTTGCCGATCTGGAACTCCAGATGTTGGGTCTTCATGAACTCGTCGTGCTCGTTGGCTCGCTTTAGGTACGCCCGCATGGCCTTGCTGACCTTCTGCTTCTGGACAGCCGCCGGAGCAGCCTGGACGGTCACTTCTGTGGCAAAAGAAGCTGCCGGCGCCTGAAAAGTTATGCAAACGGTGGGAGACGTGAGTATGAATGAGGTGTGTTTCGGCCAGTTTACGTTTTTCTTGGCCATTTCTTATTCACTCACCATATGGCCCGTGGGAGGGGCAGGTGACTTGAATCCATTTTGTAGGAGATTCCTGTTAGTTTTCACTAAATTTAAGCTAAAAACACGCAGTGCCATTGGTTTTTAGTTAAAGCACGACGAAACAATGTGGCCAGATAAAAATTTGGCTCTCACCCTAAAAAATCTCAAAAAGTTTAAAATTTCCCCTAAAAAATCCAATTTGATTTTCGAACCACACCGATACAATTGGGCAGCACTGTTCGCCGATGAACGAAAAGTTGGGCAGCACTGGATTTAGTCAGGTCACAAACCTTTGACTGCTTTCTTCAACATTACACTGTGAAAATAAAACGTAGATTTAAAAAACCAAAACTAAAAGCAATTTTTTTTTCCTTTAAAATCCTTTTAAATTTTCTAAATTTAAATTTTAAAAGCTTACATTAACTTGGCTCTTAAAAAAATACAATGCCAATCTTTTAAATAAGCCGCTCAGTAGGTATTGCAATTTAACTTTTATTTTATTCGTCATTACTCAAATTTGAAAATTAAAGTTATTGCGTTATTGCAAAAGCAGCATACAGCTTCGATTTAATATTTTACTTAAAATGAAAAAATAAAAACAAAAAATTATTTTCTAAAAATCAGCTTTATACCGCCCATCATATTTATAAATTATTAACTCTAGAGGCTTTTTAACTGCTTAGGCCCCATGAGAAAATCCTTATTTCCATTATAAATGCCAAAAGTCATACTCAAAAATTTGCGCTGGTATTCGAGTTCCCAATTTCTCTCAGTGCAACAATTCACAATAGCACTACTGCCTATCGATATCCACCGATTGGATACACACATCCCCATCGCCGCCAGCTGTTCCGCTCTGTTCCCCCCGCTCGCCCCTCCCGCACACATTTATTATCATTGCGAAAACCAAGTGCAGGCAGCAGCAAAAACAGCAAATCCGTCGCAACCAGGCGAAAATGGATCAATAACGCGCCAGCCAGGGCTAACTCGCAAATCCCGTGACCGCTAATTGGATTCCATTGTGCGCCCAGCGACAGGAAACGGAATTCTACAACGGCCGCCAGCGAATCGCTTGCGAGATACACAAAGAAGCACAAACAAACCGAAGATGAAGGCGACCAAGACGCGGGCTGTACGCCTGACAAGCCTAACGGAGGATGTTGCCACCGTGCCGGAGGATGCACCCTTCCGGGCACGCCTCCACTTCCTGTTCGCCCAGATCGAGCGGGAGTTCGAGCAGCTTTACCTGGAGAATCAGAGTTGTGAGTGTCAGGGGATCCAAAGTGCATTCAAGTTTCCATTAAATTGGCAAAAAAAAAAAAAACAATAATAAATGGTAATAATTTTTTACAGTGCAGGATAAACTGGACATCGCCAACGCCACCAAGGAAACCGTGGTCTTGCAGGAGCCACGATCTACCGCAGGAGGAGTGCTGAGCGCTCCCTCTTCCTCCTCCGCTTTGGCCACTCCCGCCACCCAAACGGATGAAGTGGGCGCAAGCTTTCTGGCCGCCGCTTCCAGCACACACAAAAGCCTAAAGGCCAAACTGAGCAGCGCCACCGGCGGCAGCAAGGCAAAGGCCAGCAACAAGATCAAGGCCCAGACGAGCCGCATCGTGTCCAGCTTCAAGGCTCCAACAGTGGTCAGCACTGTGGTGCGAGAGTTTGGCGGACATAAGGATGGAATTTGGCAGGTGGCCGCTAAGGCGGGACAGCCCATTATAGGCACCGCTTCCGCCGATCATACAGCTTGCATCTGGGGCGTGGAGAGTGCACGGTGCTTGCTGCAGTACCAAGGACACGCCGGCTCCGTCAACTCCATAAAGTTCCACAAGCATAGAGATCTCGTGCTTACTGGCAGCGGCGATGGAACCGCCCACATCTGGCAGGCGGCCGTCAACTGGGAGGTGTCGAAGTAAGTGTCCAAAGAGAGACGTAGGTCTTCGGTTACAATTTTCCTTCATCCCACAGGAAGGGCCATTCGTCGGAGGAGGAGCTGGACGACAGCGATGAGCAGGTGGAGGATCGCGATCGCGTGGACACCTTGCGCACACCGTTGTGTGAGTTTACAGGCCCCGGTGGCCACCTGTCCGTTGTGGTGGCCGCAGACTGGCTTTCCTCGATGGACCAGATCATCACCGGCAGCTGGGACAGGACCGCCATATTGTGGGACGTGGAAACAGGCCAGCCACTGCAGCCGCTGACGGGGCACGACCACGAGCTGACCCACGTTTCAGCGCATCCCACACAGCGCTTGGTAGTGACCGCCTCCAGGGATACCACGTTCCGGCTGTGGGACTTCCGAGAGGCCATTCCCGCGGTTTCTGTGTTCCAGGGCCACACGGAAACGGTTACCTCGAGTGTGTTTGCGCGGGATGATAAAGTGGTGTCCGGATCGGATGACCGCACCATCAAGGTGTGGGAGCTGCGCAATATGCGCTCGGCCTTGGCCACGATCCGGACAGATTCCTCGGTAAACCGCCTGGCCGTTTCCAGCGGTGGGATCATCGCAATACCACATGACAATCGCCAGATCCGGCTGTTTGACTTGAATGGACAAAGGGTGGCCAGATTGCCGCGCACCAGTCGCCAGGGTCATCGACGGATGGTGTCCTCTGTGGCCTGGGCGGAGGAGCCGCTGCTGGACTGCGATCTCTTCTCCTGTGGCTTCGATCGTCGCGTCTTTGGCTGGTCCATCGTCCTGCCCAAGGACAATTGAAGGCGGTTAAAGGGGGGAGCTGCTCCCAAAGAAGGATAAGCAGGCAGCCCCCTCGGAGCCCAAAAACACCTCTCGAACAGGGCATCCGCCAGAGATGCCCGTACTTATGTGTGTAGCCGTTAATCGTTAGATCAAGTATTATGCAGACATTGTTCAAGATGTTCTAGATGTCGACCCTGAGTGTAATTACTGTTGCTTTTTGCCAAATAGTCGTGGCACATCATCAAGTGCTGCTATAAACTACATATTATCATTGTTATAACAAATATGCATGGGGATTGGGCAGGACTTGCGAAGTCCAATTCGTATTTTATCTGTGTTTTACTACCATACATAACATACATACATATTATAGGTGTCTGAGGCATTGACGTTATTAGCGAACATGAATAAACATAATCAATCAAGCACTCTTAGATGCATTAACCTACAAAGTGTATGTGAATTATCTTTTATTTCCATTTTATACACATATTTGGATACTTTTGTTACAACTTAATGTTAGTGGCTAAGGCATAGTGTTGACACAACAATTTTAAACATAAAAATAGTCCATCGATAATGCGTGGCTATAACTTTGGAATACAATCGCTGCGGCTCACAGGTGGGCAAACTTCAGCACCAACAGACCAACCAGAATGCCCACCTCCAGTATGATTATGAGTATCAGAATGATCTTGTTGTAGAGCACCTCCCTGCTCAACTTCCGAATAATGGCACGTGACTTGGACAGATCCTGGTCGGCGTCCTCCAGTCGTCGTGTGGTGCGCAGCAGTGACTCCCTCTGCTCGCCCAGTTCGCCCAGCACCTGTTGGAATGCAAACATATATAAACAAGCCGGCTAATCCCTAGGTATTATGTACTTACCTCCACTCCCATGTTCTCCGTTTCGATGGCAATCTGGTTGGATCTCTGGATACTGTCTGTAGTGCGTTGCAGCACATCGTTCATGTTGGCCGACAGCTGCGCTTGGCGGCTGTCGTAGTCGCCGCCGCTGGGCAGTTGGCGGTAGCCGTTATTGGACATGATTTTTGCGTATTTAAAAGAAATTAAATGCGATTTTGTTAGGGCTTCGAAAAACAAAATAAAAACAAAGGCAGGGTGTGACCGTTTTGATAAATTAAGAAGAAAGCCAAAACGCGTTAGAGGCGGAAAAAACCGATGTTCTGTGGCGACTATCGATGATTTTGACACATCACTAAAACGCAACCGTTATTGATCTTCGGCTTAAAAACAGGGTGTTTATCTCTTAATAATAATAATAAAAATAATTAATAAAATTATAAGATATAGGGGTAAAATATACATTTTAATTTCATAAAACCAGTTTTACGTAATTTTTGAATAATAATACATCCAAAAAAGATCAAAATATGATTGATAAGATTACATATTTGCAATAGATAAATAGAACTATATTTTAAGAATATTTGACAAGCTATTTAAAACAAAGTTTCAACAACTTTATGGTCTTCTTGGAAATATATTGTTTATGATTAATTGATTTCAAAGGTTTAAACACTTCCGAGAAACAATTGGTTCTTTTTTTTCTGAACAGAAGACAGCCGTTAAATCAAAAGTCAAGAGGTTTGCCCAAAAATAGAAAGGGTAGTATAAATTTATCAACTACCATTTTTACCCTTACCGCTTTACACCCGTGTACCCCCCTGGCAGTTGCTAGGGCCGACAAGAGGGGCGATTTATAAAGGCTGACAAAACCAAAACAAACAACTATCAATATCAGGTTGTCTTATCTGGAACAGGGAATTACTCGGCTGAACCGTTATTAATTTAAATTGATAGAGGCGGTGGCTAGTGGCTACGCAATGCGGACCGTACATATGTAGTACTTGAAGAGTTTCGACTTTAGTGCGGGTATTTGTCGATTTTTGATTCCTGATAACGGCCCCTGTTGTGCTGCCTCCCTGATCATACATGGCCCGATCCGAAGATATAGCAACTGTGTGAGTTTTATAGAGAGGCGGCGGCAGAGAGCCGATTGGCGAGCGGGTTCTAGAGCCGCCGCTGGTCGCGGCGAGTGCCAAATTTAAACGCAGTCGATCGCTGGCGGTGAGCAGACGTGCGCTCCGCTTGAGATACAGATACTCAGGCACTCAGTCAGATACTCTCGGTCGGCAACAAACAAGTTCTAAATTTATCGCTCGTACTCGCGGGGACTCGAATCTGTGGTGTCTTTGACATTCTAAAGCGTTTTCGGAGCTGTGAAGGTAAGCGAATCCCAGGCAAAGATCCCGCAAAACTCGACTAACCCAGTGGGTTCAAGGTGATCGATCTCTGGTTCTCTTGAGCCGAGGCAAGAAAGTGTGTCATAGATTTTAGACCGCAAAAGATGCAAAAGCATCTCGGAGAGCACGTGCTCCAGCAGATTCGCCTGCATTTCGGCACGTGACGATGCTCAGTGATAGCAAGTAGCTAGTTAGTCAGTTAGTCAGAGGGGAGGGGTCACCTCGGCTGTCATGGGACCCATTGTGCAAACGGCGCTCCCACCTGCCCGAAGTCACAGGTAAAGTCAGAGCGCTCTAGCTCCGTCTCTGTCTGGAGCCCGCGAGTATCTCTGAGATATGTAGTGGTCGTCGTCATGCGTGTCATATTGCGGCAGTGTGAGTGTTGGTCGAGCACACAGATACTGGGCCAGCATTTGTATGTATGAATATCTGTGAGTCGCGCTCTCCCACAGAGTCGCGAGTTTTCGAGTTTTATGCAATCAAATAATACGGGTATCATGTGATCTCCGGGGCTTGTGGTCGGCCTAGAAAAATCTTCTGCTAGAACGGAAAAGAAACCTAGAGTCAAAAGCTTAGCTCGATCGAGTACTTCAATATAGCTCCGAGTAATAGCACACAATAAATTCCAGTCGATTATGATTTATGGATCACTCTATAAATTCCCCGTCGTCGTCGCACTTCCCACCGATCAATCAACTTTAGCTGATTAGCCAGCAGCAGCAGCAGAGCCCGTTTATGAATGGAAAATCTGAACGTTCGAGAAATCAAGAAATCCCAGATCTCAAGTACGAGTGCATATAAGTCTTATAAAGCCCCGCCACTCGAGTCCCAGATCTCCAGTTGCGCAACTCCCCAGCCGAAAGCTTATCGGCATTACGACAAAGACCTCTGGGAATGCCATCGAAACATGGCAATTCTCAATGAAATTGTAGAATTATAGTTTTCCCAAAACCCATATCTGATACTGTTAAGATAGGATTGTCTTAGGATTGTTTTTAAAAACATTTTATTATTGGTGTTATACAAGTCTGGGATAAATGTACCTTATGTTGACTTAAGAATCTGGGGTACATAAATAGGTTAATAGCCATGTGTTTAACATTAGTTTATGGGTTCGCGCTTCTGTTTTACAACTCCCATTTATTTTTAGTTCTCTGCCACCAATTACCTTTCTGATAAGTCTGTGCCATATGGGCATAATTTGGATTTGTGACGCAACTGAAGTGCTTTAGTAGTTTTCTTTACTTTGCTCCCACAGAAGCAGTTTTGGAAAATCAATTGAATTGACAATTGGCGTTAATAAAGATGAGTATGGGATGGGCCTCTCTTCTGCCGATCGTCTTTGTATGTGGATTCACATAGATATTATATATGTATGTATATGTACATATATGTACGTAAAAGTCTTAATTACTCGGCGAGGAAAAAATGGAATTGTCATAAAAATGAACGCTCTCAATAAAAAGTAGAAGTTATATTCGCATTCGAATTAACAACAAATAGCAGCAAGAGAGCACTAAAAATGGGAGAACCAGAGAGAAGCAAGATAGAGAGAAGAAAATTAGAGAGAAACAAACAAAACAGAGCGAATAGTGAACGAAACTTCGAAGCGTAGCGATATTAGTATTAGCCTACACTCACATGGGCGTGCGCCCGCTCCCAAAAACAGGGGGCTGTCAATGTCACCGCTCTCTTCTTAGCTCTATCTCCCACCGTATGTCCCTCTCCGTCGATTAAATGTGATTAAGGCTCACCCACAACTCGCGTGTGTGAGACAGGAGCAACAACAACAGCTGCATTTGAACTACAGTTGAGCTCCAATAATTTAAATTCCTAATTGTCCAAATTTGAGTTTGAAAGTAGAGTTAATAAGTTATCGAATTGGAAAAATATAAGGTAGAGAACATTCGAAAATATTAAAACTAAATTAAATAAAAATAGTTTTTTTTTTCAAAATCTCCTGGTAAAGTCTGTCAAAAGTAGGCTGCAAAATATTTATTGATCTGCCATTGATAAAAACCAAAGCATACTTTTCGGCTTCTTCAGAGTAAATATTAAGTATACGATTAAAAAAATTTTTATAGGGAAATAAATAGTAAGATTAACTATGATTATAGATAAATATTGGTTATCATAAAAGTCTAACTGTATTTGGAGGTGGTTGGCACCCACACACCCGCACGCAAGGCTAGAGTCCACTCACGAAAATGACCAGCAAAGAGGAGCGAACAGAGAGGAGAAGGAGAGAGGCGAGAAGCGGATAGCAAACGGCAATGGCTACGACGTCGCTTAGCGCCTAGTTGTTGTTTTGAAGTTGAACTGGTTTACAGTTAGCGCAGCTGTTTCGCCGCCTCGGTGTTTTCAACGTTTTCAGTGTTTTTTTCGTGTTCGAGCTGTGCGTGCGTGCGAGCGATATTGGGCAATTGGGAATTCGAAATTCGAGTTTCCAGTTTTCGGTGAATTCAATTTATTAAAACGAAAGCAGCACTTGATCAGGCGAGTTCAATTGAAATAAATACCTGTTTTCCAATCATCGAGTTACGAAAAAGTTGCCAATTAATTCAAGAGAAATGAATAAATATTTACAAATAGAGTGCTTTGTTTGTCCTCGTCTGAATATGGTGTTTATAAGCAACGACTGTGTACAGTAGTACCTACAAATACACACATACGAATGTCTATATAATAGCCTGATATCGTATTGCTGCGTACTGGCAGGGTTGAGTCCAAGCTGTGGTGATTTCCGCCCTCAGGCGATAAACCTTATAAGCAAGTACCCACCCACCCTTTTGATTAAATTTTAATCAACGTGCAATTCAGTTACTGAATTTCCTCAAAGAAAATACACTCAAGTCCCTCTTTTACATATTTTACGAGTACCCTCAAATTGTATTAGTCAGTCCCTTATTAATGTTTTAAATTAGTTAAAGCTTATAAAGTGACGGTTTTTTGTTAATAAGAAAATAAAATAAATATAGAAATTAGTATAAAGAGACCTAAGGTAATTACATATTTGTTATTCTTTGAAATCCATAAATAATAAAAAGTCGCAGTATATTCAAACCCAGTCTTTAATGGAACCTAAACCTTGAAAAGTTTACAGAAATTTAACCTTCGTAAGACATTTGAGTGTGTACAAGGTGTAAGTTCGTTAATTGCACTATAAAATAGTTTAAAATGCACTAAATGACATTGTAAAAATGAACAAGTAGCCGCCGTTATATTGGAAACCCAGTCTATATGGATTTCCCTCCTACGTTTCTGCTTCGGCGCACGCCAATACTAGGCTAATATAGCTATAAAAACTACAAACAATTGAACTGGCAAACATTCTAAAACGATCTTTCATGACCCGACAATTGGACGCGTATTCGTAATTAATAATAAGTGCAATTAAGGCTGCGAATTTCATGACTCTGCTATTTTTAGCAAACAACCGGCCCAAAGACCCAGAAAAAACCAACAAAGTGCCAGCCAGCACACACTCTTACATATTTGTATAAGTTGGCCTGATAAAAGTGTCAAAGTAAGCGAAAAAAGCAAAAGATATGCCGGGCAGAGCAACAGGCTATGGGAGCATCAAGTGGATCCCATTTCCCATTCTTCCCGGGAACTCGATAGCACAAGGCATGAGGGGAACTCCGATTGTGTTCTTACTCCTACTGTAGAGATGTTGGTGGTCCTGTTATGTGATTGATGGATCTAACAAAGCACTGATGGTTGGATGGGGTTTTCGTGAATATCCATGACGTCCCCGGTCCCTGGCAGCAGGCCAATTGTCTGGGCCATGGTTTTGTTATTTTAATGCTGTTTTACAAATGACTCGAACGCCCCTACAGAGAGAGATAATTAGCAGTGTCGTAAATCTAATAACT